GTTATTTTTAATTGTTTTTATTATATTTTAATGCATTGTTTCATTGTTTTAATCATTTTAGTTGTGCTTATAAGCCACCTTGAGTACCATTTTTGCTGTAAGGCAGATATAAATCAAATGTACCATTTTCAGCTGGCTTTTTATTCTGAAACACTTCATATTTTAAGATCTGTTTATTTATAAAAGATTTTATTTGGAATATATATGCTGTATGTGTGATTGATGGTCATTTAGCGTGGTTTGGAGTGATCTGTCATGGTGACCCTTTCATTGCCAAAGCATTAGTTTGATTTCTTGCTGTTATTTATAGTTGTATACTGTGTTCCAGTATACTAATATTTAGTTAATACTTGGTGAGCTGCTTTGCATAAATTTATACAAAAAACAGTATATAAATCAGTGAAGGATAAACCATGGTCAGTGCTAGCTATACAACCAGATTTACATATTAACCACCTGAGAGAATGAAGGATGTTTAAAGAATGCTTGGGATGGAGGTGTTGAAGCCCTGTGAGTAATAGCAGCTGCATTTCTCGACACCATTTGAAACCCACTTAGGCTGCTTAAACTGAAGGATTACTTGGAGCAGTTGGTCTCCAAAACAGAAGTGGTAGCTTGTTGGGCCAATACCTATGGATTTCCTAAGTGGTCAACCCACACTCTGCCTCTTTTTGAGCACCTTTAACCAAAATTATTAGAGGCCATTCTGAGGTAGATTCCATATGGATCGGGGTGGAGGGAGAGCAGGTGCAGCATCCAGCTGTTGCAGGTGTTGCCTAGGTGTACTTGTGATGGGTGGATGCACCACAGAGGGATCACACCTTCTCTTTGTGTAAAGCATACACTTTCCTTGAAGGTTGCTGTAGAGGAATCCTTGATGGTTCTGACAAAGAGTTCCCACTGCCAGCAGTATAACCAAGTGCCATGTCTATCATCTATCCTGTCCAGCAGAATTGTCACCAACTTACCATAAAATGGCACTGTGGATAGCTCAACACTTAAACACTTGATCTGAGTGATTATTTCCTTAAACAACTTCTGTGTGTAGAGCTTCTCCTTGCTCTGCATAGGAATACATGTAAATGTTTGCAGAGTCATCCTCTGATAAATCTGTGGGACCTTTTGTAGAGCCTCCCATGCCTCAGGACTGATTCCAAAGTTAATGAATGCGCCTAATATGTTTAGCATCAGTCCACAACCTGGTGGATAATTTTTGGGTTTGGTCCTGTTGGAAAGATTACACATGAGAAGATGTCTGCATTCACTGAAGGGTTTACCACCTTCTGAGAAGGGCTCAACCACGACTGAGAATATTGAGTCAGAGTAGTCATCTTCCTCCATGTGGGACGTGTGAATGCAGAGTTTTCCAAGCCACTGTGGTTCTTGGCTAGATCCAATTTGCAAGACATAATATAAAAGTAGCTACTAAGTGAAATGAAAATGGCTATTGAGGCAGCTGTCAGACCATTAGTTCACACAGTCAAGAGAATGAACAGGCTTGTCTCAAGATTACTAATTCTGCACTGTTTACTGAGAGGAGATGGCAGCACAAGTCTTCTCTGAGCATGGGACATTGAGGACAGGTGCAACATGCGTAAGAAAGTGGGATTGTCTGGGGACAGTTTGGATCAAGACACAACTAAACTTGGAAGGATACCTACCTCTTCCAAGGTCACTTAGTGGAGACGGAATAACATGGCCACATGCAAAAAACATTCTGCCAATATAATGGACAAAGGAGCACTGAACTGCAGGAAGAAGCAGAGAGCTGGGACAAACCCTTTTGCAGTTGCTGGTAAACAGACTTTGATATTTGAGAAACAGCTAGCAAGATCATTAGGCAAAAGGAACAGTCCAGTTTTGCCATTTTTACCAAATGATTTTAGTCTTTGGGAAACAAGCCATGGAAAATCCAAAGTCCTAGGTTCACACAACACAGCTGCCTGTGGATTAAGCAAGCCCTAAGTTAGCCATGAGTTCTCAGCATGGGCTGTTTGAGGTTAATAATCTTTGCTTAGGCCATCGTGCTGGATTCACACAACACAACAATCCATAATAATCAGCCACCATAGCTTGATTTATTGTGGGCTGTCATGTCATGCAAACCAGGTCAAGATATTACTTTGTTATTTTAGAAAATACATAGGCACAATTGGTTTAAGATTGTGTGAAAGGGCTTTCTGAGGCCAATACTAAAGAAAGTTTTGTGGCTGTCTTATTAAAGTTAACCCTGTTTTGGAAAAGCATACTGTTACCTCTAATTTTCCACTACTGTAACAGATATAAAAGGAAGGTTTGTGTTCAACATTGAATGACAAGTATTTGTCACCATTTTGCTTTATTTTTTCCATTCTCATGTGGAGTGAATTTTAAACATACAACCTGTGCTTCAGTTGATTTTAAGCATCTCCTGATCATGGTACTACAGTGTACTTTTCTGAAGTGGTATTAAAGCCAAAGAAAACAGTGTTAAACAAAATAAAGTCTGAAAAGTAAATAGCACAGTTTGTTGCCCTCCATATGGCTCACTGTCTAGAAGGTCATAAAGTGTGGGTTCCCCGTCTTCTCGTGGAACAGCTGGGTTTACACAGCATTTTTAGAGTGTTTAGTCTGGCATGGAGCCAACCATGCATAATTTTTCCATTATGTTCATTTGATAGATGAGGAGCTGGGGTGGGTAACTTCAAGGAACAAATTTGTGAGTGAGTTCAGATTTTTATTAAAAGAGTCATTTAAAGAGAGTATAAAGTAATATAAACAAAATGAGAAGATGGAGGTTAGTTACAAGGTAGATCTATTATGGCAAGTTAATATTGCCTACAGTCCAGAGGGACTAGTGGGCAAGAGGTTGTTTTGCTCTTTCACAAAGAACTAATACACATCTATCTGACGATTGCAGGTAGAAATATATTATTTAGCTCCCTAAGTCTTCATTGATGGGACAGACATTTTAGAAATGATTAAAATATTGAGAGGTAGGTTGAAAAAAAAAGTTCAGAAGGTAGCCTAAAATTTTAATAATTTTATGTATTAAAATGGTATAGAATTTTCCATAGGAAGACCTCAGGAAAAGTCTCTTGAGAATTCATTCCTTGGATGTCTTCGATGCAAGGTCTTCATTTTGTTGATTTTTAGAAATAAGTATAATTGATGCAAGAGACCTAAACTTCATGGGATGAAGAGGGCTTTTTACCACTTTGCCCATCAAAATCATACACCATGCCTATTAATCACAATAGGAAGAAAAATGCCATGATGTTAAAGATAGCTCTCCTTCCATTGTGAAATGCAGACACAAGAACTCCTAGTTTGATTGGGACCATCATTAGGACAAAATATTAAAGCTATGCCAGCAGCTTCTTAATCAACCACAATAGGGCTAAAGACATAAATGTAGCTTGAAAATGGACCCATATTGTACATGTTTTACTATGGCTAATAGCAAGCTTTAAGGCTTATTTAAATTGGGGCAATAGCATGGAGAATGCTGCTGCCGCAGTACGTTTCCCCTCCATTTTCACAGCTACAGGAAGCTTCATTAGGAAATTCATTCATAGTTCTCTATTTTGGCATACAAAACACTTTGATGTGGGAATAGAATCTGTGCAGAAGACTTTTATGCGCAAGAACCCTGATGTACATTCCAGGTTTCTCCAGTTTGCTGCACTGGAAAAGATTGCAGTTGGTTTTTCATGGGAATATTTTCTAAAATGTGTGGGCTTTGAAGGAAAATATTGCATGTTTATACAAGAGTTTTCCGAAGGAATCTTAGAAAGGCCAGGCCAGCACTTCTTCCCTTCTGTCTTCTCTTTCCCATGGTACCAAGCAGGTTGAAAGCTTGAATTTGCAACCAGGTTAAGTTAGCTACATTTATTTTCTGCTGAAGTAAGCAGGACTGTTGTAATTAAATCTAGATTCAACTTATTAAGACCTGCTTACCTTTTAATCCTTGTAATCTCCATTCACATGAAAGGACAGATGAAGAGCTTCACTAGAACTAGAGGAATGAGCATAACATGATATGTGAGCTCTCTTCATTTAACTATTGGTAGTGAGAAAGATGGTGGCTTTGGGTGTTCATTCTCAAGGATTGCTAGCTGTACTTCAAAATCCAAATTGAATGTGAAATAGAATGGGAGGGAGCTAGAGCAGATAGACTATGCTAAGACATGGAAATGAAACACGTGGGGGCACTTATCCCAAGTCCAGATCCCTCAGGGATCCCTGACGTATTCAAGATACACAGCAGGTGGGAGGGGACCCTGAACATGGAATTTTCTCAGTCAAAGGCTAGGCTGCCCCACCTCTTGATCCCATGATGCAGCATCAACAGAGGAGGATGGCCCAATTACAGGAACAATGCATGGAGAGGAGACACACTCACTTTCAGAAGACACCTCATGAAGGGATGGGGCCCAGGCATGTTCATAGGGAGAAATTTAGGAGGTGGATAATAGATTTCAACAAACTACTCTGTGCATGCTCAGAGATTCATTCTGGATGATTCGTGCTTTTGGGTCAATAAAGAACACTTTGCAAGGAAAATGGTCTGCCTTTTGAATGCTCGAAGGGGGAACCTCAGTTTCCAACACTAACTTTTAGGAATTACTCCTCCATTACTGGAATTCTTGGAGCATCTATTCAAGATTCCTTAATAATAATAATAATAATAATAATAATAATAATAATAATAATCCCTAAAACATTTCAGGCACCCTCTCACACTCACAGCCAAGTATCAGCTTGAAATCATATTTCACCTTTTAATTATCAAATTACAATACAGTCAAATTACAAAGCCACAGTTCCAGCTTTTGAAGCCTTTACAATCTGTAAAAGAAATAGTTGTTTGTGTTGATAAGTCACGTTGGAGGAGGCAGTTGGAGAGTGGCAAGAGGTATTGGCAGTTCAATAGTTTAATGAATATAAAGTCAGTCAGTTTTCAGCATGTTTGGTTTGTTGGTGTCAACTAAGTTCATCTTTATGGAAATCTCTTACAGAGCATAGGAAACTCGGCAATCTAACTGTGACCGTGAAAAAGACCGTCCCTTCTCCAGAATCCCTACAGATTCTCTACCAGCGCATGAAATATGAATATGAATTTTACTACTATGTCAAAGAGCAGTTTCACCTACTAAAGCGCAAGTTTGGACTACGATCTTCAAACAGTAACTCTTCACCTAGGCCAGAATTTGTCATTCCTTCTCCTCAGGAGACTGAAGAGCCAGTAACAGAAGATGAGGAACAAGATGATGAAAAGTGGCTGGAAGATATCTATAAAAGGTGATGCAAGCCATCACCTTCTTTTCTGACTGATGCTCCCAAGTTTTTCAGAAACTGTTAAGAAAATTCCTTATAGAAGTGAGTCAGTGCACAGCAACATTTAAAAAAGTTATTTTCCCCCTGCTTGAATGGATTGAATGTGATCACTTTTGGAAGGTTTCTTTGTTTAAAGTTATTTTTGTTTCCTTGACTCTGTAGGATCATGGTAGCTAGAACATACTTCTAAATGTTCCATCTCTTACTTCACTACAAATAACAGTTACTATAGTAATTGCTGTGTGTAGTACCAACTTGTAGAGTAATGTAGATGTCATCATAGATAGTCTCAGTATTCACAAAACTTGCTCCCTTATGTTAGTATCTGTGGTGAATCTCTTCATTTGAGCGCGTGGAGTTAGTAGCAGATTATAAGAATTTGTTTCATCAGCTGAATAGGAAATTATGTGCCATTGTCACCTTAGCATTAGCCTAAGGATAATTGGGCTACACTTCTCCTGTATAAACTCTTTGTAATGAGCGTGTTACTAGAAATGCAAGTAAGAAAGAAGTGAATTAATGATGAAGTTAAATATCTGGATGCATCACAATACAGTGGTATTTGAAATTGATGAAAGCTGTGTAATCTTTTATTAGACAAACACCTGAAGGAGAAAGCCATTTTGGGGAAAAAAGTGATTCTGTAGTTGGGAGGATATTTTTGTAATGCTATAATGCTGTTTCTGTGATGGACTGGTTCTAAATTGAGGGGTGCTTTTCCAGAAGATTCTTCAGAAGATTGTGCTGAACATATTCAAGACTAGTAAAAATCAACTACTAAATCACAAAGTGGGATATATTTTGGGCTGAGTTAATTAAAATGCAACAAAAAGTTTTATTACAGTATGTTCAGACCATCAACCTTTTCTTTTTCACAGTGGCAGATGTCTAAACTTTATCTAGCCAAGAGGGAGTACTCTTTTACTTAATTCTCAGGAACAAGGAATAAGGAGTGTCTTCCTCATACATCATGTGTTCTGGCTAGTACAGTCAACATGTATGTTGTATTAAATTATTACACTTGGGAGCATGGATGAAACAGGTTTATTTTATCACTGGTACTGCTTTTTGTTTAGGTGTTTTCTCTGTCAACACACCTTTGGCAATTTCCTTTCCCTACTAATATTGTAAACCATTAGCTATTGTATTTTGTTTTACTATTCTGCTTCTAGCAGGATTTGAACACACATACAATTCAACATTTTTCTTGTCACTAGTTACATCCATATTTGTGGTTCCAATGCACTACTCTAAAGGAGCATACTGGGAGCAGTAAATACAGTTATTAATAATAATAATTAACCAAGATGCTGCATAGTATATTTTAAGTGGTTTCTATGAAATTACATTTAAAGAGTAATGATTAGTTTACACACTGTGGAATTGTCTTATTTTGGAAAGCAAATTAATTATCACACTTCAGGTTTCTTTCTTTTATTTTTTTCCTTTCTTTTTTAAGGTTTCATTTTTTATCTATGTTGCAAGAGTCCTGGATCAATTAATATGTTCACCTTCTGTGCAATTTCACTGCTGCTTAAATATTTTTTATCATGCAGTTTAATATTATTCCTTGCCATGAATGCTTTGCAATGTTAAAAACAACAGCTGTCAGGTGATTTACTTGCTAAGTTTTAATGTTGTGTGTATATATATATTTTTTTTACAAGCAACTTGGCCTCTACTCCCAGAAAGGTACTTCATAAATTTATTTGGCACATAAGCTTTTAAGAATACTAAAAACACACCATTTATTTGTCATGAAATATATTTTATAATTTACTTTAAACAATCTAGAAGCACATTTTAAGTTTGTTAATCTTTTGATTTATTTATTGTGACTTTTCAGCACATTCCAAATTCTTAGTTACTCAGGAAAGGAATTCATTTAAATGATTTTATTTTGGTCTGATGGTGGTTATTTTGTGTGCATGTGCGTTTTTCTTTTTTTAAGAATGAAGATCACTGTTATAAACCTTCAGCCCATGACAACCTTCCAGGAAGTGCCATACTTGTTTGTAAATCTCTGTGAGAGAGAAAAGGTGGTTTCTTGGCTTATTTGAAAATAGCAGAGCATATATGTACATTAGGTTAGTTGTAAATTAAAGCAACCATTGTTTGAATTAAATTCCTTAACTTATTCACTGACTTCTTTGATGTTAATGTATAAAAACATCCATATCACCATTTTATTTTAGTCCGTTAATATTTCCATTTAGAA